GTTTAGGCCAGGGTTTGACTTCGTGTGGACGGGGCCTAAGAAGGGCTGGTCATGTCACAGGTTATTTGCATTACAACAAGGACAGTTAGCAACATAGAGTGAATACACATACTTGAAGAGGGGAGGGGGGCTTGCAGGAAAACTGGAATTCTCCGGGACATCCGTGGAATTCTCCGTGTTAAATTAGATGTAATATCTATCTTATTGTGTTTCGGTTGTTAATTCTTTGAGTCTCATTCGATCGACAAATCTTATAGCAAGCCATGTTTATTTAAAAAAAAAAAAAAAGAAAAAAACAGATCTACTACAAGATGAACTACACATAGAATTATATAAGGCCTGTTTGATTAAACTACTATTGCTGTACAATACTGTACCAAAAAAGTGTACCTCTGTAATGTACAACATTGTATATACAAAATACATCCGAACACGATTCTCCAGTAATACAGAGACAACTATAAATAGATTTGACATTACTGTCTTCATTTTTTTTTAGTTCTGTGATTTTTACCCCCCCCAAAAAAAAAAAAAAAAATAATTCACGCACACAGAAAAATGCATATTCAACAATATTCAACTCATTGTCCCCACACAGTTAGTCCACATGCAAGCAGAGTGCACAATGATTAGAGATCACAGAAGGACAACCCCCCACCCACCGCCACGCCGGCTTTTCACCAACCGCATGCATGTCTATGCCGCACATGTGAAAAGTTGTGGTCCTGAACGCACACCGTCCCTCCAGTTGTGAGGTAAGAGCAACACCAAATACACCAGTTATGCACAGAAAGTATACAAAGATTTCAGAGAGACTTGACAGTTACAGTTTATTACAGGAATGCAGACTGAGCTGTAGAGCTGGGGGATGATATGATCCCATTTAATACTTTACAAATAATGATTAAAACAAACAAACAATAAAAAAAAAGGTTACAGACACAGAAAAAGGATTAAAATATACATTTGTGCTCACACTCTTTCATTATTTCACATCATTTTTTTTTTTTTTTGCAATGGGAAGGGCAAAGGATATAAAACCAAAAAAAAAAGAGAAAAAGAATACATTTTGTTTTTACCATCATCTTTTAATAAGAAAAAGCTGGTCTGGTTGCTTGGGGGTTGCTACAATGACTGGAGACCACATATCAGCCTTCCTAACAGCTCTGACCACCTTTACAGTGTCTGGTAAAAGTATTCACACCCCTTTTCACTGTTTTACTGCTACCACCACAGCCGCAGTGTATTTTAATGGGATTTTGCACAATAAGCCAACAAAAAAGTGGTTCAAAATAGAAAGTGCAACAAAAATGATCCATGTTTTGGTGGAATGTGCATGTGACGATCAGAAATCAGAGCCTCCCGCGTCAGTTTTCTGATAGCAACCTTTTTTTTTTTTTTTTGTAATTACAAAAAACGGAATGCTTTAAAGGCACACTATGCAACATTTTTCAGTTAATTAATGTGTTCCATAACGTTTTGGATGATTAAATGAGTCATTTCAGGTTGAACAAAGGTTTTCTCGGCCGCCCTGGTGGTCTGTGGGGGAAATACCGCACTTGCAATTGCAGGAGCACCGACCCGCACCCACAGGCTCAGAAGTCTCGCGAGAGTCGGTCTTGCTTTACGGCGAGAACTGCTACACCCCCCAGTTAAAAGCATGCTCGTTGCTAGCACAGTGGCGATCAATAAATCCAGAAAGACAGTACTTAAAATCATGTCATCTTATCTTCAACAAACTGGACTAAACCTAAGGATTTAAGGAAACATAAATAAGATCAAGTAGGTGGCGATAATGCTCCATTTGGTTGCAAGTCGCCAGTAAAACAAGAAGAAGAAGAAGACAGTGGCGATCTTTGTGCAGTGCTGCTTTCACACCGGACGCAGCAAAATCGCGTCTGCTGCTTCATTTTTACTGCTTGTACCAGTTAGTTCTGACGCGCGGCTGAAGCAGCTTTGCTGCTCTGGCTGCGCGGTGCAAAAGTGTGTCTGACGCGTGTTGGGCGGAGCTTCACTATCCTTTCTCTGCCTTGCAGCTATATTTGCTGTGATCAGTGGGAATAAAGTAGTTTTAATATGTTTTGAAGTGAGAAAATACACCTGAAAACGTAATCAGTGCAGTCAGTTCATTCAGATTATCATCCTGCCTTCCAATATTTTTTCTGTCGGAGCCGCTCAGACCCCCACATACCAGCGGAGCGCCGACAGTAGGAATCCCTTCATCAGCAGCCTCTGGCCGGGTCGCCTCCTCGCGGTTCACGGCGGCAGCTGGTAGGTGTTTTTCATCTAAATAATCCAAACTGCAGGCAGCAGGATAATAAAAGCCAACAAATTCTGCCGGCAGATTTCTGCATTTTAAGTTAATTTAGGCGTCAATAAACTGTTTAAGAGGAGTGATCATAGCGCTCTGATCATCAGCACTGTGTCTCTCTCCCTGCCAGCTCCCAGATCAGCTTCTCTGATTGCTTGACGCGGCGCGTCGAGCAGCAAAAATTCAATTTTTCCATGTCGAGCAGCAGCGCGTTTGCGGCGCGTTTAGATGTTTAGTCATTCGTTGCGTTCGCCTGTCTGCTAAGCTCAAAACAACCGCGCCTGGCTTGACGGAGAAACCAGGAGAACAGCTGTGCATATTTACGACAGTGCACTTTTACTTTCGCCCTCTGGGGGGAGCCTCGCTGGAAAATCAACACCGGTTGCATAGTGTACCTTTAAACCTGTAGCGGGTCTGCAGACAAAGTGGCTCCAAATAATCTTAGATAAAAAAACAAAAAAAAACTGAAAAGGAACAAACTAATTCTATTAAACACAGAAATAACCCAGAAGGTTTTCCACTTTTGGGGCTGCTCAGTGGAGCAGTGGGTAGCACTGCTGCCTTGCAGTAGGAAGGTTCCGGATTTGATTCCCGGCCAGGGGTCTTTTAGCATGGAGTTTGCATTTTCTCCCCGAGCATGTGTGGGTTCTCTCTGGGTACTCCGGCTTCCTCCCACAGTCCACTGTTAGGTTAATTGGCTTCTCTAAATTCGCCTTAGGTGTGAGTGTGTGTGAATGGTTGTCCTGTTTGTCTCTGTGTTGCCCTGCGATGGACTGCATCTTTAAAATAAGTAAAAATGTCTTAAATTAAGTCTATTTACCCTTAATTGAGTAGGTAAATGAGATAGTTTGTCAATGGAATGAGTATTTTTACTCTTAAAATAAGAAAATTACCTACTGTAATATGCACTTGAAATAAAACAATGAAATTGTGTTTTCTTATTTTAAATTTAAATTGTCTTGTTCCATTGGCAAAATATCTCTTTTACCTCCTCAATGCAAGAACAAATGCACTTATTTTAAGAAAAAATGACGTATCTAGATTTAAGCTTTTTCCAGTGTGGCGGCCTGTGGCGACAGCTGGAAATAGGCACCAGCAGTCCTCGTGAACACGTTTTCCACGAATAATTGCTTAAATGTACACTCACTTTACCTGACTTTTTAAAGTCAGTAATTCACTTTTGTTGTAAACAACATTTTATAACAAATGATGGCATCTTGCAAACAACATCGACTGAATTTCATCTCCATTAGGATAAATCCAAACTCTACTATAAGAGGTTTTTCTTTCCAGTAATGATGAACAACAATTATCCATCACTACTTTAAAGTACAGCTGAAATTACACAGATGGCAGTAGGATCTCCTCACTATTTTCCTTCTACACAGAAATATTTCACCCAAATTTTAAGACTTGTGTAAATTTATCACATAATACATTTCCATTTATTATTTGTTATTTATTCATTTCTAACCCTTACACGGTGCATATACATTGTTGTAATAAAGCGTATTTATTTCAAATACATAACTGTCAAATTTTAGTATTTATCAAAATTAAAACTATTTAACGCCTTTATTTAAAACATATTTAGTTTATTTGCATAAAGGTAACATGATTTCTATGCAATTTTATTTATTAGAAATAAACTCCTTGGTATTCATTTTGAGCAAAAACACTTTGGAAATACTAAATAAACAAACTTGACATTAAATAAGCTGTTTATTTAAACCTATTTTTTTTATAAGTTTGCGTTAAAAACAGCTAAAGAGATTAAACGGGAATTTGTTATGTAATAAACTGTCAATCTTAAATTTTGGGCGAAATGTGCATCAGATTTATGAGCTACTTTATGTCGGTTTATTCCCATCAAAATACATTAAATCTTAAGGTTCTAATGTGACAAAAAGGAAAAGGAATATGAATACATTTACAAACTGCACATCCCACATTTCCAGGATACTGAGGAAGGTGTCTCCACCATGTTGCTTACAGTTGGCGTTTATTTACGTGCAGGCCTGGGTCAGGGAGGTGCATAAGCTCTCTATCCATGGATGTGCACACAGAGAGATATAACAGTCCAGAATCGAACCCCCAACACATTCTTGGCATTAACTTGGTGACATATAAGATGAGGTGATTGGTTGTGCTCACATCTGCACACACTCAGGGAAGACCTGCAGCTGCATGCTTCCAGTTATCAACATGACTAGTAAATAGAAAACAGAAGATCGGCGTGTTTAAACCCTTTTTTTTTATGGTAATCCTGTTTTTTCTAGAAGTGATGTCACAGCTGGTATCGCCTAATCGGCTAGCTGGTTCTATTAGCGGGCGCCAGCATGCATGATAGAAACCTGAAAGGCGTTTAGCTGCCTCAAACCAGCACACATCAGGAGAGAATGTATGAACGGTCCCTCCTTAAAAAACACAAATAAAAAAAGCTGCTGCAGTAAAGCAGCATCACACCGCAGAAACTTTTTGCTTTCATTGTTTTATTGCTATATTAGAATTACTGTCGGCCGTGTTAAGTTCATGTTACGCAATCAGACATGAAAACGTGTTAAATACTGAGTGAGAGAGGTTCAGTAAAGCTCTTGATCATGTGACTTGCACCGATATTTGGCCCAGTTTCCCTCTCATTTCAAAAAATGTCCCATCTGCCTTCCTCTGAAGCAGCGAGTCAGTGTGTTTCGGTTCTACAAAGTGAGAGCGTGGCTTTCACAGTCTGTTCTGAGGAATCAAACAACGCCCTCGTCTCGCTTTACTCAGAGGTTTTTCTTAAAAAAAAAAAAGAAAAAGAGAGAGGAAAGAAGAACCCTTTTGTGTCTATTATACAAAAAAAAAACAGTGCTTTTTTGTTCTTTACATGTAGAGCAGGTCACACTTTCACCTGCACTTAGAAGCTATTTCATATGCGAAAATAAATCACACACAATCAAAAAAAAAATAAAATAACTAGTGTGTGTAGCTCCTATCTCTGGAAATCCAGCAACTGTTGTGATTTCTCTACGGAGGAAAAAGAAAAAAAAATCCAAGCTTCTCCTCCTAGTTGACTTGTAGTAAATCAGAGCCGCCAGCAGAGGGCACACTCTTCTTGATAAAGTCAATGAATCCTAAGATGCTGCTAGCGAGTTGATGTTATGAAAGAACTGAAGTGCTTCTGCACTAAAAGAGCTGTGAGGATTGTTAGGAGGAATACAGGAATCTTAAGCCGGACAGGATTTATCATTAGACTGAGGAGGAGGAGGAGGAGGTGGTGTGTGAGGAAGAGAGTGTGTGTGTCCTAACAGTGGGGGAGGTGGCGTCGGAGGGACTGTGGAGGTCGGAGAGCCCATGGCGGGGCTTCCCGTGCCTCCTCCACCCTTCGGGAACACCACAGGCTTCGGTCTGGTGGCCGGCGGTCGCATCTCCCTGAAGGACGGTACGGAGGAGGAGAGGGTCGATGACGAGAGAGAGGGGGAGGTGGCGGATGGCAGCGGGCTCCGAGTCGGAGTCTTCGCCGGGCGGAAGGAGGAGGGGACGTCGCTTGCTGACGAGGCGCTGCGCTGAAGCGGGTGGACGTAAGAGGGGCCGCCCTCGCCGTCCCGCAGCAACCGGGAGTGGAGCGGGCTGGAGGGCTCGGAAGCTCCTCCTCCTCCGCCGCCGCCTCCGCTCATGCCTTTCAGCTGCTCCAGTGTGTCCAGAACCACATCAGGGGTGTGCGTATGTTTGGAGGTGCTCTGTCTTTCAAACTTACTGAGCTCACTCAGGGAGGAGTCCTGCGGGTCCTGCAGCGGGCACACTAAACATGAGCAAACATGGAGGATGGAGGGAAGCAAAGCGTCAGAGCAGATAGAGCCGTACCTGTGAGCTGAGCTCCACGTGACCTATGACCTCAGGATCCAGGGGTCTGTGGTTGCTGAAACTCTTGGAGCGTCCTGCAGGGGTGGTCTTCTTTAACTGAGGACTCTCCACCTAAACAGGAACAACGGCCTCCATTAAAAACCTTCTTTACCTGCTTACCTTCTCACTCTGCTTACAAGATTCTTACAAGTAGTTTATGAAGAAGCAGGAAAAGGTGAGGAACTGATAAAGGATCCTCAGCACATAAAACATCATAGTCTAAAGCCTGGTTTATGCTCAGAAACCAGGTTGTGCTCAGAACCCCCCCCCTTCCGCAGACAGTCTGGTGTAGAGACTGACACGGGAGTGGATTTTCACTCCTGTCCCGTCCCACTCCCACAGAAAAAAA